ATATATATTCTATTTTTTATATATTTAATATATTTAATATATTTAATGTTATTTAATATTATATTTATAAATCAAATAATATTTTTTTAAACTCATTCAAATATATTTTATTTATTTGCATTAAATTATTTTTAATCATGCATTTAATAAGTCATTTTTTTACAATTAATACATAAAAAATATTTAACCAACAATAAATATTTTTCATAATCAAATTAAATTAAACAATTAATTTTCGAAAAGGATTACGAAACATATTTTAATCAACTACGCACTTGGTCAAAAATATCTGTTATGCACACATCTGGACTAAGTACAAGGGGATATCGAGATATCTTCGTAATCCATAAAAAACACCAACCCACTACGAACTACAAATTGAGACTTTGATTCCTCGGATACGTAGGCATACAAGTAAAATCGTGGCGAGTTCCCCTAATAAAACACTAAAACCCTATTTCTTAAGGATCGTGCTTCTAACCCTAGTATCCTTGCAAACAAGGTAGATGGGGGGGAGGTGTCTAACACCTCCTCTTCGTCTAGAACTGAGTCCAAAAAACATAGAATCTTTAACTTATTTAGGGTTATCATTTATATTCCATTACTTAGGATAAAAATTAAGGGTGGTGACTCTTGTTCTCAAAATAGTTACGGCACAAGATAATACTTAACTAAAGTCTCACCATTAGAGATACAAGGAACACCAAGGCTTACACCATATACCATGCAGCGGGATAAACAAACACTCCTCAACAGCCTTCAGGCATGACTCAATAATCTTTGCACACAATCACGATAATCCAGGTGCTAACAACATAGCCTAGGTTTGAAAATAAATCAACAAAAAAAACAGCAGCTCTCCACCAAAGCTACATTCCTGATACCAAAAGACAGGTCCAATACACACCCTGTCATGAATAATCCATCCTCCACTTCTAGGGACCGTTCAAACCACAATATAAACTTATCCAAGTTCAAACAACTTTTCAGTAATCACGTTCTTCCATGCCCATGACCAGAAAGTATCATCCCAGTATCTCACTCAGAAACATAACATGATGCATGCTCTGATACTAATTTAAATTCTAGTACATCAGACTTCAGATGTCCTATGACATGTCGAGACATCTGAATCCGAACAAAACACATAGGAAAGTAATAAACAATAAAAAATAGTACTGAAAAGCATAAACAACACACAAATTTATTAACCCAGTTCAGTGTACAACAATACCTACTATAGGGGATACTAAGCCAAGAAGGAAATCCACTATACAATATCAATTCAAAGCTAAACTAGTCCCAAGTTTACAACTTATCACTTAATCACTACCCTGTGCAACTTCTACCTAGGTCCTCCCAAGATATGAGAAATCTCATCTCACCTCCAATCGCCATAATGATGTCTAACAGTCTCAGTCCCAGTTACTGTATCGACGACCTTCCACCTAAATGAAGATCACACTTCAAATACAAAAATACCTTAATCAAGACATCCCATGATTAAGAATAACATACTTGATCTTGCTTCACAACTTTGATCAATAACAATATTTAGAGTTACTTAACAGCTTCCTCCAAGAACAATACTACCTCTTGCTTAAAAGCTTGGAGGAGAACAATAACAAATATTACAACTCTATAACACAATCCAACTCACAACCTGAGTGGATCACACAAACCAACTCTCCTAGAGAGTGGCATAAAGATAAAGCCCTAATTATCTACATCTTGGACCCGTACCAACTTTAGGTTTATAAACTTCTATTTATAAACCTTTTCCCAACTGGATTTGGGCTTCAAAAAATGTAGCAAAGAGGCTGCACAAAATCTGCAAAAACTTCTCCAAGAGAATAGGTCTTCAATCATAACTTCCTAAAATGTCTCCATATTTAGGAAGTTGAATATCTTGAAAAACAAACATAATTTCTCTGATTAATCAATCTTGGACGCCATATAAGATTACTAAATATTCCCATAATATTCAGTAATTAAATCACAACAACTGAATCCAAACTGCCAGTTGTAGCAGACCTGATGTCCTATGCTTCTGGTTAGGATATCACATTCAACATGTTGAATCTTCAAGTTGAAACATCTTGTTCAACATATTGTCGCCAAGTTAGTTTTACCAAAATACATGCCAATCATAATTTTAGAGAAATAAAAGTAATGTTCACAGTGGGTATAAGTTCTTAATACTCTGTGTTATTTAGTTGCATGAGACTCACCGATGAGACAATATGGTATAACTCTCGTTGGTGCTTCAGACATGAAAAATGATGTGAGGGATACGTGATGATATTGACGAGTGCTTTAGGTTACATACAACTGATCGGTAGATTTAAGTATTTGATGGGTAGATGAAATCCAATCCTGACGAGTTTCCTCCTCTCTAAAGAATGCGTTATTTACTTGTTCATATGTTTTACTTTCCATATTTTACGCTTTTAAACTATTCAAACCTAGCTTAGAAATTTCGAGACTATTGAATGACATTTGATCCTTTGCAAGTTACATCAATCCATATGGATAAGATAAAACCCAGAATACTTCCAAACTAACTTTTTCTTCCCGCTTTACTGCGTCGCAACTGTCTATAAATTTAAGACTTCAATCTTTTACATATTCAAAGATCACATGTTTAAGATTCTTTAATTGATTTAACATTGTCTAAAACTTTCAATATGATATGATATAATTTACTAATGTGACTTGAGATATATCTTTCTTGTTCAGATTCCATCATCAAGAATACCTCCATTTAATAGTTGTCATCAACACTTAGTTGTCATAAAAACTTGACGGTTGTCATCAACATTTGACAATTGCCATCATCAAAATCATTTGACAATTGCCATCATCAAAATCATTTGACTAATATTCCCTGTATAACACATAGAGTCATATTCTTCTCCTTTTCTATGATGACAATGCATCTCACAAGGAGGTGGTTAAATAGAAGAGATAGATAAAAAATTATAGTGGTTAAAATCCACCTTAAAAATGAGAAGATTGTACGCTACTCTCTCTGAGAGTATACTTCTTCCCCATTTACATGATCAAAAGGGAGGAATAAACATATATCACATAGAAATCTTATTATAAGATTTAAAAAACCACATCATTTGTATATATTGAAAAATGAGAGAGCTATGTAAGGGGAACAGAGAAAGCAAACCAAGCTAAACAACAACAAGCTAATGCTACTAATTATTTCCATCATCACTTTCACCAAAAATCGTGGAAGGCAAAGGTACTTCAGAGGCAGCTAGGTTACATGTCAGAAAAGAAACTTAGAAAGCCATTTGATTCATTGCCCTGGTATGTGCTTGTAGGTTGGCTATGATGGTGTTAAGAATACATTTAGTGGAAAGAGTTTGAGGGATCTCATAGTCGAAGTCCTTCAAGTTTGATGTTCCTGATTATTAGGATGCTTGTTGATGAGCTTTCTTTTTTGCTTTGAGACCATCGTGCACTAAAACTTTATGATCATCCTTGATCTGCATCTGAGTCAAGGCATGCTTCCTAATTTGGGTCGAACTCTCAATTGACTCTTCCATTTTTAAATTGAAACCATCACGCGACAAAATTTTTATGATCAAGGCACCATATGATAACCGTGCACTTTCCTTTTACGGTTTTTTTAACATGTGTTGGAGTACCCCATTAGCCGAATTAGTTTCGATCTTGTTGTCTAGTAACCATGCATGTGATCAGACATCAGGTTTAGACACTTGCCTAAGATTGAAATTTCTAGGGATTAGCACATGAGTGAATGATTAATAAATGAGACGAACATTAACGAAAGGGAGTATGTCACCTAATGATGGGTTGATAAAAAGTGATTGAGAAGAGAGAAATTCAAAATCCCGCACTAGAGACTTCAGAGATATCTATATTGAACACAAGACATAAATATTATCCCATTGTCCAGTTAATATTAGACCCATAAACATGCATCATTTTATATAAGACGGAAAAAAATTTCATCTAAATCACTCATATTTTATCTACTACTATATTTATAGTCATCTAAGTGAATTACAAACTCTTAATAAGAAAGAACCCTCTCCCAAATCTTACAAATAGGATGGAGGTTTGATAACACATATAGATTATATATGGACAATTAGAGGATGGGGAATAAAAGGTGATTTAATAGAAGGATCCTTAGGTGTGTTAGATTTATCTATGTGTTTAGCTTGATTAACTAGAAAGGTCAAGGGTAGATTCAAACAATGCAGTGTTTCCAGAAATTAATACATCTCTAGTTTAAAGGTAAAATAAAACAATTTTGATTAGCCATTTTTTAAAGTACTTATGAGCACACAAGTATTTATCAGGAAAAAAAATAGTCAAAAAGTTCTTTCTATTTTTTTTTAGCCAAAAAGTTCTTTCTATAACAAACTCTGTTCACCATAAAATCCAATTCAGCACCTGACCATTACTTCGGTTTGAAAGAAATTATATCCGTTTGGTTCAGTTTTTCAAAATTAAATTTTTGTTAGGGTTTGGTTCAACTCAGTTCAGATTTTTGATTCAACCAAACCATAAATAATTCTTTCTAGAATTTTAATTTTACCTATAATTTTGATGATGAAGATGGCATTTAAAATTAATAAACATTTTTTTGTGAATATTTTTAAAAAAAAAATTAGTCGCAAACATTTAACATTTCAATTATTCCATATCACACGTTATCATTAACGTCATTAGGATGAATATGATTAACATAGTCTAGTTTGTTCAGTTAAAGAACCACTGTGATGTTTTTTTTAATTAAAGGTAAAGATAAAGGATTTAATTCAAAATCTTACTAATTAATCATCTTATAAAATTTAAGTTTAGTTTCCTAAAAAATCATAAAAATCAAATTACAAACTTCATATCCAAATCCAAAAAATCAAGAATATTAATCAAAATTTACTAAAACAAAACATACTAATTAATATATAAAAAATGATAAGCATATAGGTTGAAAGAAAACATGTTGAAATTCAAGTGCAGCAGCTTCCACCAAAAACAGAAGGGACCCTACCCATTAATGGTTCACCATATCCAATTTTGATTCCATGAGTTTCATTCAACATATCGATTTCTCCATGTTTAATCTTTTTATATATTGCTTCAGCTGTTTTTATGAATGCATCTTCAACATTTTCTGCATTTTTCGCCGAAACCTCCATGAAGATCAAACCATTCTCCTTCGCAAATTGCTCGCCTTCTTCAGTACTTACAACGCGCTTCTTAGTTAGGTCGGACTTGTTACCGATTAACATAATGGTGATATTTGAATCTGCATGTTGCCTTGCATCTTCTAACCAACTAGCCAAGTGATCAAATGTTTCTCTCCTTGTTATATCATAAACCAGTAATGCACCTGCTGCTCCTCTGTAATACGATCTTGTTATTGATCTAAACATTTCTTGACCTGCCGTGTCCCCTATACTTAACTTGATTGCTTTATTATCAATGGTGATTGTCCTTACACCGAATTCGACACCGATTGTTACGTCGTGGATGTTAAAATTGTTTTTTCTTTTATGTTAATTTACTGTCAGTTAGAATAAGCAATGTTAGTGCTGTTAGTGAGTTATTGCTTTTACCTATTCTCTTGCCACTATCCCACATTTTTAGTGTTTGTTAGAGTGGGCTATTTTTTCTCTGATTCAGTTTCTGTAAGGCTATTAAAGAGCCATTTCTTTTATTCAATTCAATAAGAAATATACTCCCTATTATTTTGTAAACACGTATCCTTTACAATTGGTATCAGAGCTCCTCTAGAAGGGGCCTGATCAATACTTGAAACGCAGCAGTCTTTTCAAGCAGATGGCAGAAAACAGCAGTTTTGTTCAACCATCCATTCCAAAGTTTGATGGTCACTATGATCATTGGGCAATGCTCATGGAGAACTTCCTTCGATCCAAGGAATACTGGAGCTTAGTTGAAAATGGGATCCCTACAGCAGTTGGGGGTGCAGAATCAACTGAGGCACAAAGAAAAACTGTTGAAGATCAAAAACTCAAGGATTTAAAGGTAAAGAATTATCTTTTTCAAGCAATTGATAGATCTATCTTGGAGACAATCTTGAAGAAAGAAACGTCAAAGAACATTTGGGACTCAATGAAGCAGAAGTATCAAGGGACGGCAAGGGTTAAACGAGCACAACTACAAGCACTTCGAAGGGAATTTGAAATCTTGCAGATGAAAGCTGGAGAATCGGTGAACGAGTACTTTTCTCGAACCCTCACCATAGCCAACAAGATGAGAACCCATGGAGAGACTATGGGAGATGTCACTGTTATTGAAAAAATTTTGCGGTCCATGACTCCAAAATTCAACTATGTTGTTTGCTCTATTGAGGAGTCAAATGACATTGACGCCTTATCAGTCGACCAACTACAAAGTAGCTTGCTGGTGCATGAGCAACGCATGAATGTTCCTGTTATTGAAGAGCAAGCCTTGAAAGTAACCTATGAAAACAGATCAAGAGGTCGCGGTCGTGGTCGTGGAGGATTTCGCGGACGAGGTGGAGGAAGGGGCATGTCAAATTTTGACAAGTCCACTGTGGAGTGTTATTATTGCCATAAACTTGGTCATTTTCAATATGAATGTCCAAGCAAGGAGAGTGAAGTCAATTATGCAGAATTTCAAGAAGAAATGCTTTTGATGGCATCCGTGGAAAGTAAAGAATCAGATAAGGAAGAAGCATGGTTCATTGACTCAGGGTGTAGTAATCATATGTGTGGTAAGAAGGATGTATTCTCTGATTTGGATGAAAATTTTAGTGAAACTGTGAAGTTAGGAAACAATTCCAGCATGGCTGTGAAAGGAAAAGGAAATGTGAGATTTCAATTGAATGGAATCTCACATATCATTACTAGTGTGTTCTATGTTCCTGAGCTAAAGAACAACTTGTTGAGCATTGGTCAGCTACAAGAAAAGGGGCTAACTATCATTTTTCAACATGGAAAATGCAAGATCTATCATAAGGAGAAAGGCTTGATCATGGAAACTATAATGTCCTCAAACAGAATGTTCATTTTGCCGGTTAAGCCTCAGTCAAGTGTATCGGCTTGTTTCAACACAATTACTGAAGACTCAACTCAGTTATGGCACTGTAGATTTGGACATTTAGGCTTTAAAGGCTTAAGGATTCTTGAGCAAAAAGGGATGGTGAATGGTCTTCCACAACTCAAAACTCCCTCTAAAATTTGTAAAGACTGCCTTGCGGGAAAGCAACAGAGGGATCCATTTCCTAAAGTGAGCACGTGGAGAGCATCTCAAATCCTACAGTTGATACATGCTGACATATGCGGGCCTATTACACCAGCCTCAAATAGCAAAAAGAGGTACCTAATTACTTTCATTGATGACTATAGTCGTAAAACATGGGTATATTTTTTAGTAGAAAAATCTGAAGCTTTTGACACTTTTAGAAGCTTTAAAAATCACGTGGAGAAAGAAACAAATATATTCATCAAATGCTTGCGTACTGACAGGGGTGGTGAATTTACATCACAAGAATTTAATGACTTTTGCAAGGATAATGGTATAAATAGGCAACTGACGGCTGCATATACACCACAGCAAAACGGTGTAGCCGAGAGGAAAAACAAAACCATTATGAACATGGTTCGTTGCATGCTGTATGAGAAACAAGTTCCAAGGAATTTTTGGCCCGAGGCTGTAAATTGGACTGTTCATGTGCTGAACCGATGTCCAACGGTTGCTGTGAAAAACAAGACTCCTGAAGAAGCTTGGAGTGATGTAAAGCCATCAGTTGAGTACTTTAGAGTCTTTGGATGTGTTTCGCATGTCCACATACCCGACAGAAAAAGAACAAAGCTAGACAGAAAAAGTACTAGTTGTGTTCTACTTGGAGTAAGTGAAGAATCAAAGGCATACAGGTTGTACGATCCAATTTCTCGTAAGATTATTGTTAGTAGAGATGTCGTTTTTGAAGAAGATAAAAGTTGGGACTGGAACAAAAGACATGAGGAAAACATCAAAGAAAATTTAGAATGGGAAGATGAACAAGATGAATCTGCCACTGCTGCAAGTGCAGAAAATGATACAAGCATCAATGAAGAAATACAAGGAGAACTTGATCACTCTGATTCAAACGAGTCAATTGAAGAGAGTCGGCAAGATTCAAATATAAGAATAATACGACAACCTGTATGGATGAGGGATTATGAAAGTGGAGAAGGACTGTCAGAAGAAGAAGAAAACATGACTAACATGGCCATGTTTGCAGGTGCTGACCCAATTTCATTTGAAGAAGCTGTGAAGAGTGAAAAATGGAGAAATGCCATGAATTTGGAATTAGAATCAATAGAGAAGAATGACACTTGGGAGTTGACAAATTTACCGGTTGGTGGAAAGAAAATTGGAGTGAAATGGATATTCAAAACAAAGCTTAATGAGAATGGAGAAATAGACAAACACAAAGCGCGACTTGTAGCAAAAGGATATGCTCAAAAATATGGAGTTGATTATAATGAAGTCTTTGCACCGGTGGCAAGATTAGATACCATTCGACTAGTGCTTGCACTTGCTGCTCAAAGGGGATGGACCGTTTATCAGTTGGATGTAAAGTCGGCATTCTTGCACGGTGTACTAAATGAAGAAGTTTTTGTGGAACAGCCTTGCGGATATGAAATCAAGGGAAATGAGCATAAGGTGTACAAGTTAAAGAAAGCACTTTATGGACTGAAGCAAGCTCCACGAGCTTGGTACAGTCGCATAGAATCATATTTTTTGAAGGAAGGCTTTGAAAAATGCACTCATGAACACACTTTGTTTGTTAAGACAAGTGCTGGAGGTAAAATTCTAATTGTAAGCTTGTATGTTGATGATTTGATATTCACTGGCAATGATGAGTCAATGTATGTTGAATTCAAAAAATCCATGATGGTTGAGTTTGATATGACCGATTTGGGAAAAATGAGGTATTTTTTAGGTGTTGAAGTAATGCAAAAGAGTGAGGGCATATTCATTAGTCAAAAAAAAATGTGATGGAAGTATTGGAAAGATTTGGAATGGACAAAAGTAATTCTGTTCTAAATCCAATGGTTCCTGGAGAGAAGCTTCAAAAGGATCAAGATGGCATGAAGATTGATAGTACTTACTACAAGCAGATTGTAGGAAGTCTTATGTACCTAACGGCAACTCGACCGGATGTTATGTTTGCTGTTAGTCTCATAAGTAGATACATGGAGCATCCTACTAAACTACATTTGCAAGCAGCAACGAAAATCTTAAGATACTTAAGAGGGACAGCTGATTATGGTGTGTTTTACAAGAAGGGCGGAAATGAAGAATTAGTCGCGTACACGGATAGTGACTATGCGGGTGACTTGGATGATAGAAAAAGCACGTCGGGATATGTGTTTCTATTGAGCTCTACTGCAATATCTTGGTTATCTAAAAAACAGCCTGTAGTATCTTTGTCTACTACAGAAGCAGAATTTATTGCTGCATCTACTTGTGCTTGTCAGGCTGTTTGGTTGAGAAAGATTTTGGAGAAGCTTGGACATACTCAAAACAGCTCAACAACTGTTTACTGCGACAGCAACTCAGCAATCAAGCTTGCTAAAAATCCTGTAATGCACGGTCGTAGCAAACATATCGATGTTCGATTCCATTTTCTTCGTGAACTCGCAAAGGATGGAACTATAGAACTAGTTCACTGCAATACTCAAGAACAAGTGGCCGATGTGATGACAAAGCCTTTGAAACTTGATGCTTTTGTGAAATTGCGCAACTTATTGGGAGTGTGTCAACCGCCAATAGTAAACTGATTGTAACATTCAGTTTAAGGGAGGATATTAAAATTGTTTTTTCTTTTATGTTAATTTACTGTCAGTTAGAATAAGCAATGTTAGTGCTGTTAGTGAGTTATTGCTTTTACCTATTCTCTTGCCACTATCCCACATTTTTAGTGTTTGTTAGAGTGGGCTATTTTTTCTCTGATTCAGTTTCTGTAAGGCTATTAAAGAGCCATTTCTTTTATTCAATTCAATAAGAAATATACTCCCTATTATTTTGTAAACACGTATCCTTTACAGTGGAATGGTTGAAAGCGGTTGTCAGTGAATTGAAGTTGAAGGCATGATTTTCCCACTCCGGTGTCTCCGATTATTATGTACTTGAAGAGATATGCATAAGACATTTTTGCTGTTAGGTTTTTGCGAACTGTGATGATTCAATATGGTGATGCGCTATTTATATGGATAAAAATCTTAGTGAAACTTATTAATAACTACTGAAGCTATTCTTATTCGTAATACTCGGAAAATAAACCAAGATAATCGCAACTAACTCATAGTTCAAAGTATTTTCAAAAAAGAAACTAATTAATCGAAATATTGGGAATTAAGATAACTCGGAGATCGGTAAGATGAGATATAAAAATTTA